AGTAGAGACGGGGTTTCACCGTGTTGACCAGGATGGTCTCGATCTCTTGACCTCATGATCCACCCACCTCGGCCTCCCAAAGTGCTGGGATTACAGGCTTGAGCCACCGCGCCCGGCCGGCGATTTTGAGGGATTCTAAGAGCATCAGGGCGGCAGCTGCTGCTGCGCATAGGAATGAGGGCCAGCCCAGGACTGTGAGGTTAAGTTGTTTGGATAAAAAGGCTGTGGGCTGTGGGCCCGGCTCCGGGGTAAGAATCCTGATGGCACAGCCTTTTATTTCTGCTACGTAGAGAGAATGGTCGAGAGGAGCTGGGGAGTGCTAACGTAGGAGCAGTCTCTACGGCCTTTTTTAAAGAATGGAAGGAAGAATGGGGGAAGGATTTTTGGTCTATGAGGTCGGATAGGTTTCCTTTTGTAAGTTTATAAAGTGCTTTGGTTAGAGGGGCAAAACTTGGTATCCATAGGCGAAAGTATCCTCCAACGCCAGGAAGGACAGCAGCCATTGTTTAGTGGATGGGGTTGGGGTTTGGGAAACTAACTGGATGCGGTTTGCAGGGAGCGCGTGTGTATACTGGTGAAGGATTATAAGAGACAGGGAAGAAATTTGGTCTTTAGAAAAAAAGCGTTTTTGAGGTCAAGAACAGAACAGTGAGTTGTGAAAGAGGGTGTGGAAGATAGGAGGGTATAGGGGTTGGTACAACTGGGTGGATGGGAAGTACAGTCTGATTAATGAGGCGGTGGTCTTGGACTAGTCTGTAGAATTTGTCTGGTTTTTGGACAGCTAGGACAGGGGACTTGTAAGGAGAGTTTGTAGGAATTAAAGGCCATGTTGCAATAGACAGGTGATAACAGGCTTTAGGCCTTTTAAAGCCTGTTGTGGGATGGGGTGCTGGCGCTGGGCGGGGTAAGAGTGGTTAGGTTTTAAGGGGATGATGAGGGGTGAGTGACTTGTAGCAAGGGATGGGGAGGTGGTTTCCCGTACCCTAAGATTAAGGTAGGGGGACATAAGGGGAGCTATTGAGGGAGGTACAGGTTCAGGGAGGAGGGTAGCAATGAGGCGCGGCTGTAGCCCAGGAACAGTTAAGGAGGCAGACAGTTTTGCCGGGGTGTCTCAGCCTAACAGGGGAACTGGACAAGTGGGGATGATTAGGAAAGAACGTGGAAAGGAGTGGCCTAACTGACACCAGACTCGGGGAGTTGTGAGAGGCCTGGAGGCCCTGCTGTCAATTCGCACAACAGTTATGGGGGCCAAGGAGACAGGTCCTTGCCAAGAAGGCAGGGTGGGGTGGG